GGCCAACCGCATTCTTTACTTGTCAGGTTTACATATCGTTCGGCAAGGGTGCCAGGGACCGTAACATCTCACGCCAAACATCTACCGGCTCTCCAAGGTATTAGTGTGCATTTGTCCGGGCGCCTACCATCATGCGCAGAAATGCCGGATGGTTCCTTGAGAACTGGGATTGAAGCCTTGGAGAAGAGCCGACAAATGTATTGGTTTAATGCTGAGTGACGTAGTTGACAGCCCCCACCCAGGCCACAAACCAAACCGTGGTGCCCAAACTCGTCCGCCCCAGCGCCACATCGGCACGTGTATTTATTTTGAATGACCAGGCCAAGTCTGAAGCCAATGGCAAATCTCACAGACTCGTCGTCAAGCCTGGTGCCCACAGATTTTATGTACATATATGTATGTATGTATGCGTGTATGTATGTGTGTATGTATGTAAGCATATTTATACATATTTAACTAAAAATGCCGTTTCGTGAAAAGCGGCTCCAGAATTGGGTGATTTTATAGAATTAAAAATATCTACGATTCTCATCGCTTTAGCTGGTTTACTAATACAACTGACATATTATATTTTGTCTTCCGAAATTTTTTATATGTTATTTCTGTATTTACGATTATCTGTTATTTGTTGTTATTTATAACTTTAAAATATTAAGAACTTTTTTTTGAGTTAATTTTTTAAAATATCATAACTCGACTTGCGAAAAAAAATATAATCATTTTGATACAATGCAGATCAGGCAATTTATTTATTAAACACATTTTATTCAAATTCATAATGGAGTTTAACAATTCTCTGACATCTAAATTGTTCTTTAAATATTATTCAAGAAAAAAAAATGTTTTAGTCATAAATAAATGTTTAGTTGAGTTAAATGTGAATAAAATTTCGTGTACTACTAGTACGTTTCAAAATATCTTTTGGAAACATGACACAGACCACATCCAGAATAAGGGGACGAGGTTTCAAGATTATTCAGGGTTCTTGTTTCTTTTCTTCTTCCTCACGTAAGCAATGATAGATGCCGTGATGATAAAGCACTGCTATCAAGGTACCTTTGGAATTCAAATTTTAATAAACTCACCGTATAATATTCATAAGTTGTGTTAACGTAATGTATATGTATTTAAACAAATATCTGTATGACGATAATAAATATTTAAGTGTGTGTGTGTGTGTGTGTGTGTGTGTGTGTGTGTGTGTGTGTGTGTGTGTGTGTGTGTGTGTGTGTGTAGTTCATAAAGCAGTCAGTATGTAGTATATAATTTCATTTATTATAAGGAAAATTGGAATGTTTCTTTCATTATCCCATTTCGACCGTGTACCATCATCATTCATTACGATTTAACCACTGAACCTGCTGATCGTTCTAGAGTTAATAAAACTAAAGTTTAAATATGCCATTCAGTTCAATTTATCGGAGAGAAATGAACTTTTAAAAGACCACAAACGCACTGGCCACTATGAGATATATGAAGGGACTTCTGCCGACTTTTGATCGAACTGGATCATCAACCATCGCTGTCTTTTGCTCTGTGGTGATCGCCGTAGATTGATGGACATTCTGAGTACTTAAGATTGTAGTGGCCTCAGCTGTTGTAGTAGCTTCAGTTGTTGTTGTGGTGGTTGCAGTAGTTGTGGCTGTCGTTGTTGACGTTGTCGGTTTCAATTTTTGGCAGACTACGTGATTGGTTACGTATGGCAGACGACAAACTGTTTCTCTCCATTGTTTGGTGTCAACGTGTAGTTCCGCGCAAGTAAGAGGGTCGCCGTACCCACTCGATTCATATCCTCCGTCCCAGTTTGTGTACTTTGCAAAGTAACCTTCGTGTTTGGGTGAATTGTTGGATGTTCGCGCTTAAATTCAAAGAACTTGTATTCATTAAAATAAGTTACGTATGTTATATATGTAGGTGTGTACGTTCGTTTGTAGCCATTTTTTTTCTAAAAAGAGCTACAATAAGTTATGGTTTATAATCTTTAATCAAATTTTTATTGAGTTTGTTTTTAAATTTTTTACTGTTCTGTTTATGATTATTACAAAAATGAAGATCGTTTGGCTGTTTTAAAAATAATTTGCTGGATTACAAAATTTCATACTCGCTTTAGTTTGCTTTCGCTTTAGTTTGCTTTAATTAAAAAAAATTTAACAGGCTTGATTCAGTGTTTGAAATCTTAGCAACAAAAATTTTTAGTTGAAGACAATATACGATTTTATTTATGCACTCTAGCTATATAGATATTTTTCAAGAAATTTTTTTTCTTATTAATAACCATGTTTCACTTTAAAAATAAAACATTTTTTCATATTAGTTTTGTTAAATTTTACGATAAACCTTACAAAAACTTCACCAAAGATTTCTACCTTTCTCACTTTCCCAGGACCACCTAATCTTCGAATACCCGGCCCAAAAACTTTCAGGGTGCGAAAATGGGACCTTCTCATCTTCGAATTCCATCAAATCTCCACCCATGTTGATGCAATATCTCCTCGCGTCATACCAAGTTGATTTTTGGCTGGCTCTCTTGTAACAGGAAGCATTGGATGGGAGTAACGATTCTTCATGGCATGGTCCTTGCGTTCAAATTCAATTTGGAATAATATAATTTTATTTACAATTCTATCTTTAGCATTCCTTAATGGTAAATTCCTTAATGTAAACACGCTTGAATCAACGTATCGCATACACATTGAATGTGATAGTCGGAGCTCCTTTTGTGTTTGAACCTGGTTATTGCAACTGCACCACCAGGCACTTTAACTATTACGACATCGTGCTGCCAAATATAAATATAAAATATATAAAAAGTTTAAATTTTATTCAGAAATTTTTTACCTGGGTTCATGCAGACAAAAAAATTTTTCCGATTTGCAAAAACTGAGCTGAAAACACCGTTTTTGATCAGAAGGAAGTTATTATCGAAGTAGGTCGTGGATTGAATAGAGTGTCTACCTATTTGAAAACATTTCCAGTTATAAAATTCTCATTTGAAAAAATATTTTTGAGAAATTTTCGAATTAATTTCCAACTTAACTACTTTTTGACACAGATGTCATTTCGTTCAGATCTTCTCTCCTCAGTCCGATGAAGAAATTCAACTTGAGTGTTTTATTGTCAATCAACTTATCCAACACCTCCTGGTGTTTCCTGGTTTGGATTTCCACCACCCTACCACCGCTCTCCCAGCAGCGTTCGCGTGTCGCTTGGTAATTATTCACAATGACACTCTCTCCAAACGTATAAATGAGGCTAGATTCGTCATAAGCATCTTCAAAATATTCGGCAGTTGATATTTTTGGTAAGGTATGATCTGTCGATGGTAAACTTTATTACTTATATAATTTAACACGTTTAGCCCAAACTCACAACTAACATAATAGGATGAGTAACAAAATATTGGCGATCCACATAGCTCAGAAATTTTTGACTAAAATTTCTAATAAAAATCAAAACAAATTATAAATTTATAAAAAAAAATAAAATGATCGGAAGAATAATTTTATGGGCTAACTATTTACTACCCGCGCAAAATTGGTTGTAAAGCTGGTGGGTATTTCTATTTTATATTGAATTTATCACGCCTAACGCGCCATTATAATAACCATAAAGAATTAAGGTGTGTGTGTGTGTGTTTGTGTGTGTGTTTGTGTGTACGTGTGTGTGTGTGTGTTTGTGTGTACGTGTGTGTGTGTGTGTGTGTGTGTGTGTGTGTGTGTGTGTGTGTGTGTGTGTGTGTGTGTGTGTGTGTGTGTGTGTAATTAATTAACTGATTTATTGCGTCCGGGTAATGTGGATAAAAAAAAAATTTATTATCTTATTATTGTTATATAATTACAAACACTAAAAATGCGGCAGTGGTGCGTTAGGGCGGGGCTGGGAGGTAGAGGTGAGCGGGAATTGAAATTTATTCCCAATTTCCTCTCATTTTTTTCTCATTCCCGATTTTCTCCCGAAATCCCATTTATGACAATGTTCCCAAAAATTCCCATTCCATATTTTTTAACTCATTCCCGCGTTTCCCTCCTATTCCATCCCGTTTCCCATTTTCAAAATTTTTGAACACAATAAAACTTTAATAAAAAATAAAACACAATAATTTTTTAAAAAAGCAGATTTACTTCGGTATGGGCGTTTCCATGCTCACCTCTAATCTTGAGACCCGCTCTGAACTTCGCAAGCGATTGAGAAGTAGTCAGAGAAGGAGGTAGAGAGTTCTAGAGAAAAGGGTCAGAAAAAGCAAATAAATTCAGATTTAGCAAAAGAGTGTTTAATACAAGTTAAGAAGAAGTGAGAACAAGATGATGATTGTAAACAGGAGCGTTTAGGCTCAATTAATATATCTGATAAGCACTTAGGAAAGAATTTAGATTGAGATCTAAAAGATTAAGTGCTAATTTTAAAAATTATTCTATCTTTTATAGGTAGCCAGTGCAAAAAAAGGAGATAAATGAGAAAAGAAAAGGACACGAGCAACTAGACGAGCTGCAGAGTTAAAAGCTTAACTTAAAGGATAGAGTGTTAAATATATAGGCTTTTATTTTCGCACGTTGATGTCATTTTTTCCCATTCCCGATTCCCTAAAATTCCCATTCCCGAAAATTAAATTTGGTTTTACTGTACTCACAATGGCTCTTAGATGTTCTGATTAGAAGCATATTTTGCTTGTGTGCTTTTTGTTTTAAGAACGGTTTGCAATTTGTTGTACTGTACTGTAGAGTTACATGGTTGCCTGGCCCGGGCCTCACTATGGCTCTTAGAAGCTCTGATTATAAGCATATTTGGCTTGTGTGCTTTTTGTTTCATTTGCATATGACAAACATCCCATCTGACTATGCAAAGTGGTGACGTGTAAATTTATTCAAATACGAGCAGCGATTAACATTTTTTTCGTCATAGAGTGAGTCGTTTCGAAACACCTGTTGCGACAAGTTTGCATGAAACCCATTTGCATGAAACCCATTTGAATTCACCGATACCTCCCCGCTAACAATATTTTTTCAATGTTTTTCCAAGACTAAATAGCAGTCGAAACTGCTAACTTCATTTACATCAGGAAATAACAAATCGAAGTTATTATGCTTGTTGTTGGAGCTTGCCTGGTACTGAACCCTCTTTCTCTAACTCTCTCTCTCACACACACACACCAACAAACATACACACACACACTCAAAAATACACACACACACACAAACATACACAGCCTCCGTTATAAGATAAGGAGGGATCATCTTGCAATCAAACCCAGTAACATCAACACCAGGAACAGGCGCCTTAACCGTTACACCAACCATAAATTGTATCGTTTTAAATATATCATTTGTTTTCAATTCTTTGACGACAATAACACAAACTTTGAAATTTTCCATTTATTTATTTTTTGATGAAAAATATTTTTTTAGTTATATAATTAAAATGTTAAAAACTGCCAACGAGCTTGTACTGGCTGCATATTTAATATTAATAAATAATTAACAGATATGAACAATTGATCGTAAAAAGGACAAAATAATGTTAATTAATTATTAAATTAATCATTGCATACAGGCGCAAACAATAATATCGAAAAAAAAACCGTTTATAAAGATCATTTCTTTTAACGAAACATCATAGGCAAGTCTAGAGATAACTAAATAACGTAATGTGAGAAGAGCATAAATTATGCAAATTTGATGTGTGTGCGTGTGTGGATGTGTGTGTGTGGATGTGTGTGCGTGTGTGTCTGTGGAGGTTGAATAGTTCAAGTGCTATAGTTCAATTCCTATACAAAATTTAAATTTGCATTTTGTGAGCTTGAAGCAATAAGTAGCTTTTTATGATTATCTCTATACTTAGTGGGGCGGTAAGATATTAAGAGAATTAAGATACCTTAGAACAGAAAAACTCCTAACGCGATAACAAAAACAAAGTTTTTTAGATTCTTCATCTTTAGGACAACTGAATATTCATAACTCGGTTTTCTGCAATCATTAAATAAACATAGTATACATCAACTTCATCATCTTTATTATTATTATTATTATTATTATCATCATCATCATCACAACATCATCAGATCACCACCATCTGCTAAGTCAATCACATCGTCATCATCTTCAAAACAGATAGCTCAAGCGGTAAAGGTGCCATGCCATGTGTTGTTTGCTATTATGAGATGACCTGGTTCGAATGCTATCCGTGCGAAACTCAAAGACTACCATACCTCCTGTCTTGTCATCATCATCATCATCATCATCATAATCATCATCATTAAAGCCATCATCAATCATCATCATCATCATAGCCATCATTACAATCACCATCACCACCACCATCATCAACACCATTATCATCACCATCATCATCATCATCGTCATCATGATAACATCAATTAACTTGTTTAGATGCTCTTTTACTATCACCATCATCTTCTTCACCACCATCATCGTCATCATCTTCTTCACCACCATCATCGTCATCATCATCATCACAGACACACTCCTCGCTCTTGCTACTTCCGGTCACTTCTTCCATACCTTCGTATATGTCGACATTCGATACCAGGTGTTCGGAATACCTCTAGAAATACCGGCGTGTATGTGTGTGTGTGTGCGTGTGGATGTGTGTAGTATATGTCGTCTGTGCGTGTGTTTGTATATGTCGTCTGTGTGTGTTTGTGTGTGTGTGTGCGTGTGGATGTGTGTAGTATATGTCGTCTGTGTGTGTGTTTGTATATGTCGTCTGTCTGTGTGTGTTTGTGTGTGTGTGTGCGTGTGGATGTGTGTAGTATATGTCGTCTGTGTGTGTGTGTTTGTATATGTCGTCTGTGTGTGTGTGTTTGTGTGTGTGTGTGCGTGTGGATGTGTGTAGTATATGTCGTCTGTGTGTGTGTTTGTATATGTCGTCTGTGTGTGTGTGTTTGTGTGTGTGTGTGTGCGTGTGGATGTGTGTAGTATATGTCGTATGTGTGTGTGTTTGTATATGTCGTCTGTGTGTGTGTGTTTGTGTGTGTGTGTGTGCGTGTGGATGTGTGTAGTATATGTCGTATGTGTGTGTGTTTGTATATGTCGTCTGTGTGTGTGTTTGTATATGTCGTCTGTGTGTGTGTATGTGTGTGTGTGCGTGTGTGGATGTGTATGTGTGTAGTATATGTTGTCTGTGTGTGTGTGTTTGTATATGTCGTCTGTGTTTGTGTGTGTGTGTGTGCGTGTGTGGATGTGCGTCATTACAGTTGATACATTTATACAGCTTCACCGGATGACGATTAACTTGAGAAAAAAAAAATTGCTATAAGACTCAAAGACGAATTGAAGTCTGCTGTCCGATTGCTATGTAATCATAATCATAATCATTTACATCATTATCATTATCATAATTTATATCATCATCATCACCACAACCACCATCCCCATCATCATCATCACCACCCTCCTCATCATCATCATCACCACCAGTACCTTGAAGAAAACCCCATGGTAACAGTAGATGTTGACGGCGAGCAAGTTGTCATGGGCAAAGTTGAATGCGTTCTTAACTATCGTCTGGGCCTAAGTGAAGATTAAATTTGGAGAAAAAAAAATCTCTTAAAATCAATCCACAATTTCTACATACCTTAAATCCAAACCATCCCAAATAGCAAACAGTTTCTAATCCCAAGCTTCCAAATCATAATCTATTTCTAATCCCAAATTTCCAGACCTCAATCCATTCCTAATCTAAAACTTTCCAATCCCAATGCATTCCTAATCCCACACACGCTCTATCAAATCCCAAATATCCGCTACCCTAAATCCCGACGATCCAAAGCAAAATCGGAAAATCCCGGACCTCGTCATCGTGATCCTTGGCCCACTGAAGCCTCTCCATGAGATCCTCGATGTCGGAGCTGAGGGGCACGTAGTGGACGAAGGGCTGGAGGAGGTTGTAGAAGTGTTCGTAGTAGCTGGACTGCTGTTTGAAGACGAGGGAGCCGCCAGCAAGTAGGTAGGAGAGTCTGTAGGCTGCTACCGTGCCGTCCATGTTAATCTGGTACTTGTGCTGCGTGCATGGGTGGATGAATGGATGGGTGGATTGATTGATGGGTGTATGAATGAATGGATGGATAGACAAATGAATGATTGAATGAATGAATGAATGAATGTGAATGAATGTGAATGAATGAATGATTGAATGAATGAATGAATAAATGAATGAATGAATAAATGAATGAATGAGTGAATGAATGAAATGAAAACAACCAAATTTCGATTGAATAAAAAAAATGATTAGTCGAACAAAATGACAAGTAAGAATAATAACAAGAATAATATAATACAAAATATTACACCCAGACAAGCTAAATAAAAAAAAAACCTTAAAAAAATCAAAAAAGGGAGTCGAGTTGACAGTCTTCAGATCCTTCTCGTCCCTGAAGAAGAAGATGTGTGTCAGTTCGGCGTCCACAACATCCTTCTGCTTCTGTGACAGCCTCACTAGCTTCAACCTAATTATATCACCATTACTAATACTACTGCAGCTGCTATTATGCTGCTGCTGCTACTACTACTACTACTACTACTACTACTACTACTACTACTACTACTACTACTACTACTACTGGAAACCCTCACCTCTCTCTACTACTATCTCTCCCTCTCCAGAAAGCCAGGTCAGTTTTTGACGACCAGTCAATGTTACGATAGTGTTCCATTGATAACATGTCCTTCTCCACTCTGTCGTTCATTATTATTTTTTAATTTAAAATTAATTAAAATTTTACGGCCCCTGTCTCTTTTATTGACAAATTAATTGATTCCGTTTTTAAATCGACACACGCCATCTATACAACCGCATTAAATATGTCACCTAACAACACTCATCATAGATAATGAGTATTAGGGGTTTTATTGTGTATTTAATAATTTGACAATGACCATATTTTATTCTATCTTATATTTTATGCCACTGATTCTCTGAGAATGAAAGAGTTTTTATTATTATTATTACATTTTAGAAACAATTTATTAAACTCGGCTACGTCATCATCATATTCAATATATTGCGATAGGAATATTGTATGAACCTTTTCTTTTCTAAACTAACATTCTCTATTAGTTCTCATCTGCATAAAATGATGAGCGAAGTAGACTACTGATTTCGTTAATTCAATTATTATTACGATAATTTTGATTTCAATATATCATTATTTTATGTTAATTTCATTATATTCATTATTGCCATTATAGATGCTATTTGGCTGAATAAAAGCAATGTTCCCATTATTATTGATATTATTATTATTATCATTATTATTATTATTATTGATATTATTAAGTCTACAATAACTGTTCGCTAATTATTAACTCATTTGAAATATCACCTGTGGGTTTTTATAACAATTATAATCTAACTTTGTTTAAAATTTTATAGCCGAAATCTTTTAATGAAAAACTGATTAACGCGGTAATTAGCTCGTCATATAGCATATATTGTGATAGAAACACTACTTAACCGATTATAAATATATCTTTTTTACTCTCAAGCACTTGTTGATAGGAGAGCATGAGAGGATCGTACATTATATATTATATTTTATTTATTTACACTCTAATATATAATTAATAATTTTCGATGGATTCCATTTGGATTTTGTTTTTCGGTAAATAAAAGAATGTTCCCATTATTATTATTGATATCATTATTATTATTATTTTCGCCCGGAAACCGGCCAACCTGTACATGGCATCGAGTGTGGAGGTGGTCATCTCGTAGGAGGGCACGACGAAATCGAACGTATCGTCCGAGCCGCACCAAGACACCATGGGGTAACGATGGGCACTTGTCCTCCGAACCAGCGGCCAGTCTCCGAGGTTCCAGAAAAAGTCGAGGTCAGGTAATTTGACCTTGAAAGTGGTACACCATTGACGTATCCGAAAAAGCAGCACATTTTTTACACAGCGGACAAACACGCGCATACGTTAAACGAACGAACAGACACAAACGAACGAACAAACATCGAAACACAGACACACACACACACACAGACACACACTCACACATACAAAAAATATACAAACTTTTCTCATGAGAGACATGAGCATCGCATCTGAGAACATCTTGAAGCCGACATATTCGCCCAATGTCTCCCTGTACAACTGTTTGTTTGCACGTATAATGTACACATTTTATTAACACAAATACAGAACGCTAGCAAACCTCTCAAACATCACACACCATGCTACTTATTTCCCAAGAAACACAACGTAAAAAACAATCACCTGCTAAATCGAACACACTCCGAAAAACACTCCCACACCTAAGCAAAACACACAGCAGATGGGGCTTACTAAAATACACCATCACACCAGAGAATAGACGGCACACATGCACGCCACACACATACAAACTGAAAACACTCCAAAACAAACACACACACACGCACACACACACACACGCACTCACACACACCTTATTATCCTTAACAACATAGTGTATGACGCTCATTTGATAGGGCTTATTGAACTCCACCATCATTCTTTTGTACATTCTCGTCATGTTGATCCGCCTAAATGCTTTGAAGTCTTTGTCGATTTGGTCATAACTTTTCGGGCAGTTCAGCGTCCCCAGCCATCTAGCGAGTGATTTTTTAGGACAGTAACAATCTTCATCTCTAGTATAGCCTGTGCAAGTTTTTGTGGGTTTGTTTGTGTGTGTGTGTGTGTGTGTGTGTGTGTGTGTGTGCGTGTATATGTCTGTGTGTAGGTGTACGTGCAACACCGCCAACAACTGTAACAGCAACCTTTCAACAAATGTGGGAATGTTGAGATGGGTTGGTCCCTAAATGTCAACTTCAGCTTCAGGTCTTTGTACGTTTGAAATAGTTTGTACCTTATTATGTACACACCTGCGTAATAAAAGAATATTAAATAAAATAAACAAATAATAAAAATAATAATAGTAATAATAATAACAAAAAACAATAACAATAGGAAATAATGAGAAAAAAAAATGGAAACAAACCATCGTGTCTGTCGAGAACTTGCATACTGATCCTAAGATGCGAATAATGTTTGGATTCCATGCTAAGTTTGATCACATCCGGTCCCAGTGATGATGTTATGCTGTCAAAATTTTATCATCATTATCATTATTTATTTATTATATTTATTTATTTATTATTATTCATTATTATTTATGATTATATTTTATTGTAATTATTTGTTAAATAATTATAAACTATTTGTAATTGTATTGTACAGACTTTGTAAATGATAAAAACCTACACACAATGATGAAAACGTAGGTATGCAAACATGCATTCACACATAAAGATGCATTCACATACATTCACACATAGACTCGCATTCACATACATACATATATATAAAATACAGTGTATACTTTCATACTAATATACATTATACATATACATTTAAATTTTAAACATACATACAATCACTTACATACACATACCTTAAAAATTAACATATATACATGTGTGTGTAGTAATAGTAATAATGGTGGTATCTATTACAATTCTGTTTTGAATATGCAAACTGTGAATTTTGAGCAAATAAAAATGCAACTTTGACTTTTTTATGAAAAATTATAAAAAAAAATTATTTTTTAAACTTCAAAGTAAAGAAAAAACATAATCACTTATTTCCCTGACTGTCAACCATTTGCACGAAAAAATAATAAACAGGCAGAACGACCCTGTTGTCCAGCCCTGGACCCCACACGATGAACTGACTGGGGTCTGGGAGATCGGATGAATCTTCGGTTTTACCAAATGTGAATTTTTTGCTTTGCAGCAAACATAATAACAGAAAGACAAAGTGCAATTTTTTAAACATTTTAATGAATTTTTTGAAGAAAGTAACTTAGAAATAATCTTCTACCGGGTTGGGAAAAATATCAAAATATGAAACATTATGAACTTAGTATCACATTCAGTTGATTCTTCATTGTTGTGTTCCATAAAATTAACTATTTTCAAACTTATTAAAGCAAATTATTATGTTTTTTAAATTTATTTTAAAACATTTATTTAACAAAAAATAAAATTTTAATAAAAATTAATTAATTTCAATGTTTTTCTTATATTGTTTAATACCAAACATCTAAAATTGTGTAAAGAGAATGTTCAACATTAAGTTATATGTGATTTAAATTCTCTCTCAGCTGATGCTCTTTAAATGTTTGCATTTCGACGATCAAATTTGTTTTTCAATGAAATTAAAAAGTTTGTGAAGTTGTCCCATCTTTCGAGGTGATTATCAAATTATTTTTACTAAATCTTACAGCTAATGTCATCTCAGGAGATTCTCATTTTAACTTAGTTCACGTTTCACAATTTATAAATTTTTATTGAATTTTAAATCAAATCAAGTAATAAAATTAACCTATAATTAAATATATTTGATTAATTTAATCGTTTTCTGTATGTAAAGGAATAGATTGCGGATATTTTGTTTCAGATTTAGAGGTTTTACACAAACAATTGGTTAAAAAAGAGAATGAGAAGGACCTTCAACTTGAGTCTTGAATAGAATAGACTATGTGTGTGCGCGTGTGTTTGTGTGTGTGTCTATGTGTTTATTTGTATGGTCTGTCTGTATGTTTTTTGGTCTATATGTGTAATCAATTAAATTAGTTCATATTCTGGTGGTAATGATTTTATATCATTAATAATTACATGTCTATGAGATATTGGCATTATGGATGGATAGATTGGTATGCAGGAATGCATGTATGTGTGTTTGTATGAATGTATATACATATATTTGTGTGTGTGTGTGCGTGTTGCGTGTGTGTGTGTTTATGTGATTATGTTTATACTTCATAATTTTTGTCACTTGATTATTATTGTATACACAACACATATAAAGAAAACATTGTATGTATACATGTAAATATATTTCTGCAACTAAATATCCAATTAAGGTTTAATCTAGTTTTTTTAGATATGTCACTGTAATCAATATATAAAGCAGTACGAAGGCCAAAATCACAAAGTCCAGTTCAGCAGAGAACATCAGTGTAGTATTACATAGCATTTCTAATCACACATACACACACACACGCGCGCGCACACACACATATATATATGCCGGTAAAGACCATAATTAAAGCAGTAATTTATAAAATCTACCAAATTTGTAGCGTTGGATAGTTTTTTTATTACATTTCTCAATATTTCTAACAAAATTCTTGTCGTCTTTTATTGTTTTATTATAGGTAGCAAAATATACAGTTTCCCAATTCATTCTCGAGTGTATAGGACCTATTTCGATTTTTCAATCATCTTCAGCACTTGTTGCTGTTTATATATATATATATATATATATATATATATATATATATATATATATATATATATATATATATATGTATGTATATATTATAAACTTGTATTGATATTTTATATATTATACGCCATCTTTCTACTTTTCAATTATTTAAACATACTTAATGACCAACGTTATCGTTATTATTATTCTCTACAGCGTAACGTAACGATAGATATTTTTATATTATCATTACGAAAACTTCTTGACTCATTCATAATTAGGTCAGAGGCCTATGTGACAGCAGCAAAAATGTTCCCCGCGACTGATTGGCCGACCTTGAAAGAATCGAAACCCCTGGTGGGTGTCGTCCAGATGACCTCGACCTCCGATAAGGAGGCCAACTTTGTCCAAATTGCGTCCCTAGTCGAAAAGGCCTCTAAGAGAGGGGCCCAGGTTAGCAGATTTTAATTTTCTATCTAGTTAATTTCTATAAATACTGTCGGTACACGAACGAATGAATGAATGCATGAATGAATGAATCAATAAATGAATGAATGAATGCATGCATGAATGAGCGAACGAATGATTGAATGGACGAATAAATGAATAACCTAATCACCGACCGCGCAATGGTGCAGAGATTACTTCTCTTACTCATTCACGACAATTTTTTTGCCTAATAACAGAACAAGGCATTTTAAATTTAAAAATATTCCTTTTCAAAAATGTCTCACAATAAAATGGCACCCAACATCCAAAGATAGGATTTTCTATTCTATTCTATTCTACTCTATTCTATTCTATTTTTCTTAATTTTACGTTTTTCGGACTTTCTCCGTCTTTGAAAAACAACCGACTAAGTCCAAATGAAGATACAAATTAGGGTCAGTAAAATAATGACGTTATCACGCCTTTCTCACACACAATAGATGGTCTTCCTGCCGGAGAACAGTGACTACATACCTGAATCAAGTAAGCAGTCCATAGAGATGTCCGAAAGTTTGGACGGTGATCTGATGGGGAGGTATCGGAAGTTGGCCTCTCAGTTTGACGTCTGGCTTTTTGTTGGCGGTTTTCACAGACGGGTCAGCTATGTAGTTGTTATTATTTTGGAAATTAAAAATAATTTTTTTCCTTTTTTTTATCACTTTTTTGGAAAACGTAGACCCGACAGTTTTGGCCATACATAGGTGATTTTCACAAATCACACCACACCACATGACGCCAGTGCTCATCTTTGCATGCGGCATCCACACAGCACCACATATGCACATTAACATTTTGTATTACACGTCGTATACGTTGTATCGTCGAACGCAAAAGAAGTATGATAGATTTCTACTGCAACAATAGCAAAAACTACATCGTCAATAGCAACGACAACAACATTCATTCACAACAACCGCAGACTGCTGAGACAGAATTGACGCACAGAACCTTCAACTCTCATGTGGTTATCGATTCGGCGGGAGAAATTCGATCCATTTACAACAAACTACATCTCTTCGACATCAACAACCCAACTACAACTACCACTTCTACCACCATTACTACTGCTACTTCTTCTACTAATGTTTCTACTAGCCCTGCTGCTACTGATGCAACCGCAAGCACTTCTAACGCTTCTACTACAACTACAATCGCTACCAGTATTAATGAAACTGTAAATGCAAGTGCTGTTAAAAGTAATCTAGGGGCTAGCAGTACTTGTAGTAATTTGAAAAGTAGTAAAAACGCTAACATACCGACTTCATCGACGATACCGACATTCGTAGAATCGAATCTGGTCATGGCCGGGCGAGAAATTTGCCCGCCAGTTGTCACGCCGTACGCCAATGTTGGACTCGCTATAGTACGCAGTTTTGTTTGTTTTTAACGTGATGCTGTGGTTTTTATTTGTAGTTGTTCCTTTGTTTGTTTGTTTGTTCATTTGTTTGTTTGTTTGTTTATGTATCTAATTTTAATTGTTCGTTTTCATTTAGTTGTTTTACCTTTAGAAATTAAAGAGGCTGCAACAGCATACAACATTAAGAAACACAGGACCAACGACAATGTGACCATGAAAAAACTTATAAAAAAAACAACATTAACTAACTACAACCAACAACAACATACAAACAAGAACATTAACAAACATCACCAAAAACCACACTTAGAAACAACCCCCACAAACAAAAAACATAATAAACCACCAAAAAATCCAAAAAATCCACCAACAACCAAAAAATCCACCATTAACCACCAAAAACCACCAACAACCAGTGTTACGACTTGAGATTTTCCGACCTTTCAACAGCGTTACGACGGATGGGGGCACACGTACTCACCTACCCCTCTGCCTTCACCGTACCCACTGGCATGGCCCATTGGGAGGTAGGTGGTAAGCAAATTTTTAAAGTAAAAATTAAAAGAAAAATCTCATTTTTTTTTGTCTACAAGCGTCTAAATGGAATTGCGCCAAGATATCTGGTTGAGAATTTTGCACTTGGAATTTTTTTAGCGTTTTTACTACTTTTAGATCTGATGATTCTAGTTTCAGAATATATTTCAAGTTCTATCTTAAGTTTTGACAGCTCTAGTTGAGTGGCTTATTCTTAAGGATTAACTTTCTTTTTTAGCGGTCCCACTGAAATAATAAGAAATAATGTTTCGTTGCACGAATGAGTTTCGTAGAAAACTTAAATCTAGTTCGTCTTAGTAATAGTAGCTTTTTTTTATCCCGTACTAGAGACACACATCTCTCTCAGATTCATAAACATCAGCATTTTGAATTCTTCGTTTCATCATTTCGGGATTTCTGCCTGATTTTGTTTTTCATTGTTTGACGAGAGTCTTCGTGAGAACATTTCTTAACCAGCACTTCACCAAAAATCTTTTATTTAACTTGGGCTGCCTGCTGGCGTAGTGGTTACGGCCGCCTAGTTCCGTTTCGCAGTGACCAGGTTCGATTCGGATATGACAAAAAATCCCCGCCAATCACATGATTCGTGTGTGATGTACCGTCTAGCAGGTATTCACGTACGATGTTTGTTCGTGTCTGTGATTCCTACGAACCTAGGAGGAGTGTAAATGATCTTTGACCTTTTTTTAACCTTCAATGACCTAGGTCTTGTTAAGAAGTCGCGCTATAGAGTCGCAGTGTTACGTGCTGGCGCCGGCACAGGCGGGCAGGCACAACAACAAGAGGTCATCGTACGGGCATGCCATGGTTGTTTTTTGACATTTTTATCGATAATTTTTTTCTGGCGGTTTTGTTCATTTTGGAATTATTGATTAATTATAATAGTTAATTAATTCTTGATAGTTAATTAGTAGTTCTTAATGGTTTTGTTATTAATTAATTAATTAATTAATTGATTAACTAATACGTTTGGTATTTATAAGCATGAAACAGGTACATGTATTGAGATGTCTATAATATTGGTGGTAATTGTAATGTTAATTATAATGAAATACCCGTTCATTACGAAAATTACCAGATCATAGACCCATGGGGAACAATACTGGCCCAATGCTCCGCCAACCAATCAGACGTTTGCTTCGCTGAGATCGACCTTGACCTAGTGAAGAAGGTCAGGGGCCTTCTTCCGTCATTCGAGCACAGGCGGGAGGATCTTTATGGAAATTTTTCCGCCGCTTCCCCGTGCGAGTGTTGGTTGTGTTATTATTTGTTGTGTATGTGTGTGTTTCTGTTTGTTTGTGTATGTGTGTGTGTGTGTGTGGTTACGTGTTGTTGTTGCGCGTTTGAGGTTTGAGTGACCTCTTTCCAAAATCAGTAGTAATATTACAAGAGTAGTAGCGATACAGACAGACAGACACACACACACACACACACACAATAGCGATAGACGACGAGCAGGTAGTTTACAAGTTCGGACACGTCAGTATATCGTCCAGTTGTGTCTTCTACAGGACGAGGCATTCGTTCGCATTCGTCAACATATCACCAGTCCTGCCTGGCCGTCAGTTTGAAATTAAATCGTTAACTTTATTTCTTTTATTTTTTCATTTTAATAGTTCATTTAAAAAAAAACAAGCAATAATATAGTTTATTTCATGTATAACATTTCAATATGTTTATGTTAAAATAATTTACGATTTTACACATACAACCACAGCAAACTATACAACAACAGTGCAAAACTTTTTATGAATTCACTTTTAAATTTCACCCCTAAAAGATGTATTAGTATCAAGTCTCAGGGTTGCAGCCCGCCTAACCGACCTAACAAAACCGGAAGTTGCCGATCTTTTCAGTGCTGTGCAGGACGTGTCACGTGTCGTCGAGAATGTTTACGCGGCGAGTTCGCTTACTATCGCCATGCAAGATGGCGAACAGGCCGGACAAACTGTGAAGGTAAAGGTTTGGTTGGTATGGTTGAGTGGTTTGGTTAGTTGGTTGGTTAGTTGGTTGGTTTGGTTAGTTGGTTGGTTTGATTAGGACAATTTTTCAAGTCATTTATAGGTTAAACGACATGGCACTTCCAATTCTGTTGGATTGGAAGGGTTGATGTTTTGCATTTCTTGCTCCATTGTATTTGTATATATTGTCTTTAATAACGTGTGTCGGTAATGTATTTTTTTTTCCACTTTGCAACATTCCAACAACTTTCTTTCCACTTGCTAGCACGCTCACGTGCACATCCTGCCGCGGAGGACTGGCGATTTCTCACGCAATGATGACGTCTATGAAAAAGTGAGTCGCACTGTTGATCAGTTCATTGACATCATCACAACTCCATCCTCACCGTTATTATTATTCTTATTATTGTTATTATTATTATTATATTCTTTCTTTCCAAAGACGGCGTTCAACCGCAAGAAAACACCTATAACTAATAATCCTATTATAACACGTGCATCATTTGTGCGTGATGTTCACGTAAGCTGTGTGTGCTGCCTCCGAAGCGAGTGCATCTGGAGAGGCTGATCTTCTAATTGGGAAAGCCTGCGCTTAGCTCACATGTTTCACATGTTGCCGTGGTGCTGTACTGACCTGGTTCGAATGCGTTGTCTGTCCATAAGTCAAATGTGCGTGTACTTGTAATGTGCAAATGACGTTGCGGGTGATTGCGCGCACGCCACGTATGAATGTTGTACATGTGTGTGTGAGTGTGTATGTGTACGATGTAAGTACGGAGGTTGAACTCTTTGGAAGACGTAACTGTTTAAACGCGACTAAGCAGGTAACGAACGATTCACGAACTGCCCTGCCCTCTTCGAAGTCACATGATGAAAAATTTTAATGTTGATAATAAAAAAAAATCCTCACAGCTGGAAAGACACGACAAAGAGGAAGCAAGGAAGAAACGAACTGAGGCCGAGATGTCTGAAGAAGCTGCCAGGTTGAGAAGAGCCATGGTGGAACTCTCCGCCAAGCATAACTCATTAGTTAATTGATTAATTAATTATTTGTTCAAGTCATTTATAGGTTAAACAATTTTTAAACTGTTATTTCAATTTTTAACCTACTTGCTATTACGGCATTCTTGAGTATTGTAAATTTAGGTATCATCATCTTGTTAGCGTTTTTATTGGCTCACTTTTTCTATTTCAAGGTTTTTTTTAATTTACGAATTTAATGAGTGAATTTGATTTTAGATTTAATTTATTTAAAAATAAATGAATTCGTACTTGAATTTGAAAAATAATAATGTAAAATTATTATTATTGCCTAGATGTCACTCAGACCGAAAAAATCTCAAAAAAATATAAATAATTATAGTAAAAATAATTATGACGATAATTATATAAATAATTATTATAATCATAATAATAATAAAAATCAAGATGTCGACTTAAACTTTTAAACGTGACGATCGTCGCTTTTCAGGACACTCAAGTCGACGCTATCACATTTTGTGTCGCTCCTAGAACTCTTATTATTATTATTATTATTTTTATTATTATTCTTATTATTATTATTACTACTACTATTTACAATGGTATCGGTGGTGTGAAATTTAAGTCCCCTCCCACTCCTGGCATAGTGCAGCGACTTGGCTTCTTCCTCTAACTTCCGGAATTCCGACTGGATCATGTCAGTCAGGACTTTTCGTTTCTCCACCTGGCGAGATGATTTCGTGGCGTAATCGTAATTATATTACATAATAATAATATTACATAATAATAATAATATTATAATAATGTTATTTATATAGCGCTTGGAATAAGTTTTCTCAACAAAACGAACGCACCCTACAGGCAGATGAGTGTGATGGGTGAATAATTAATGGATAAGTATCAACTAATGAAAAGTACATTTCATCATCATAACACCATCGCCATCACTCTTTAGTGGTGATAATCGAATCCGGGACATCCATTTAAGCAGAGAGGGGGGGTTGGGGCCAATGACACCCCCTCCTACTGGAATGATTAGGCAGACTTGGATTTAGTTAGTGTGTCGATGGTTTTCAATTCTGGCTGTTTGCAATCAACCATTGTGTGGAATTGAAGAATGCTTAAAGGTTTCAATCATCTCCCATTTCCAATGCTTTCTTCTTGACATATGAATTAGAGCTAGCTCAGACGGTAAGAACGCAACGCCTCGAGTCGTTTGTAATTGCGTGCCTTACCCGGTTCGAATGCCGGCCGTCTCTGATATTCTGAGACTATAATTATCATCATCCCATCATTCAATTCTCATCGTCGTCGTCATCACACAAAATGAATAATTATATACCAACAGGTGTAGCCTTGGACTTATTTAATTGGTCGATGGTTTCTTTGAGGTCCATTGGCTGGCCAATCAGGACTGACAATTTCTAAATTAATTATCATAAAATATGCGCATACTACTTCGACAAATTAATTAAAACGTTTAAATAAAAAATTTCGTATTTAGAATACATATCAACGTCAATAAATGATGAACAATAGCTAAAAAAATAACATAAAAACCAAAATACACAGGGCACAGGCCAGACACACGTACATACAAACACACACATCTACACCACACACAAACACACACACATATCTACACCACATACACACATCTACAACACACCACATCTACACACACACACACATTCACAAAGTTGTACACCCACTTTGAACATTTTTAATCTGTATGGTCGTGTGTTTGGAAGTATGTCATCCATGCCTGGCAGCAAAAATAAGCTCATATAAACACATATATAATCGTATATAAGCATATACAAACGTATATGAACATACACATACAAACATATACAAACGCATATGAACATATACAAACGCATACAAACATATGTAAATGTACACAGTAGAAACATACAACATGGATTCAACATTTATTTCATACAAGACAAAACAACAACAGCCAACAACAACAACAACAGCCAACAACAACAACAGCCAACAACAACCCAAATGCCAGAATGGAATCACGATGGGCGTCATTTGACAGTCGGCTATCAGGCGGCCGATGCCTGGTGGTGGTTGTGGTGGCAATTTTTGTGGCAACGATAATGACGATGGTTGTGATAATGATTGTGGTAGTCATGATGATGATTGTGACGATGATGATGATGATTGAGGCGATGATGATGACGATGATGATGACGATTGTGATGATGATTGTGACGATGATAATGATGATTGTGACGACGATGATGATGATTGTGCTGATGATAATGATGACGATGATGATCGTAATGGTAATGATGATGGTGAGGTTGACGGTGGTGTAAGCGATGAAGATGAGGGGTGCAAGCGATGAAGATGGGGGAGACATTGGTTGATAATAATGAAAAATTTTCAAAGACAATTAAATAGAAATAAAATGAATAATTATTCTACAAACAACAGATTGATACAGGTTGAAAGATTTCTTCACACACGCACACACATGCATGCGCACACACACATGCATGCGCACACACACATGCATGCGCACACACACATTGTACGTGGTAGGTGGGGATGGATATCTTTGCGATCGAATCTGGTCACTGCATCAGAAGTGCCAAGTACCTTACCCATTAGGCCAGCCAAAATGTTACTAACCCCATTTCAATCTCATGTGCCTGTGAGTTAAGTTCACTTTTCCTAGATTTTCAAATTATCTTTTCTTAATTAAACAAAATTTGTAATTAATGTAAATAAAAAAACTAATTGGGACTAATTATCTATTTAATTATTCATTCATTCATTTAATGATTTAATTATTTAGTAATTCATTCACCCAATCGTTCGTTCAATCACTCGTACATTCACTCGTTCATTCATTCATTCACTCATTTATTCATTCATTTATAGGTGTGTTCATTCATTTGTTTACCCACATATCTATTTGTAAATTAACTTGAAAACTGATCCATAAAAAAGTAACACACGCAAAAAATGTCGACTTAATGACCTATCACACGCACACTAACACACACACACAGACACACACACACACAAACAAATGCACAGACACACACACACACAAACCTTCAGGGTAGATATGAACCCAGGCACCCTGATTGAGAAGCTGCACTGCAAAGTCCATGCTCCTTTGGTAGACCCCGTCCCCTCTGACGAGTGGAATGGTACGTCCCAGGGCGAAGAACTTGGAGTGCCACTCCTTGTTGAAACACACGTCGGCCGCACCTGATGATGATGACGGAGAAAAAGATGATGATGAGGATGATGTTGATGAAGATGATGATGATGAAAAAGGTGATAAAGATGATGATGGCGAAGACGACGATGATAGGGGCCATTGTGATGAGAATGATGAAGAAGATGATGATGAAGAAGATGAAGATGACAAAAGCAATGGAGTTGTAAGAAATCAGGAAAATAGCTGGATGATGAATGATTGATTGAATAATTGAATGAATTGAAGACTGCATGAATGAATTAATAAATGAATGATTGATTGATTGAACGACTGATAGAATGAATAAAATAATGAATGAATGAATGAATGAATGAATAAATGAATGAAGACACCAAACTAACCTGTAGTCCACCTCATCAAGTCATTTCGATAGCTATGATGTTTCCATTTCAAGAGAGCTGCCGATTTTTAAATTAAATATAAAATTTATCACAATTTTATAATTCTAAAAATAATTTTTATTTTTACAAAAGTTATAAAATGAATAAAATAAAAATATTTGAACTCTTTGAAACTAAAAAAATTAAATTAAATAAACTAACAAAGAAAAAAATACAATTAAGCCGCAATTAAGCAACATAGAAAAAACAAAAGACCCCAAATAAGAGGTTCATCAAGGCATGAGTGATGATTGCAAATTGTTATTAATGGTCGATCTTTCGGTCGATTTTCTATGCTGTCATGGAGAACATGTGCATTATATATCTTTGTTCTGTTCAGGAAGTCTGGATGAGAAATAAATATAATATAAAATAATTAAAAAAATAATATTTATTTTAATTCATAAATAAATTTCTTTAAACTAACAAAAAACTAACCAATGAAAAATTTGGAAGTCAGTCCCACAGCTCCCATGGTCAATCTACTGGCCAGTTTCCAGCCGAAAGAAAACTGACCAATCGGAGAATACGGCCATTTGACAGATAGAGGCATGACAACGTTGCAGATGTGATGTGATATACAATTATATTACACTATACACACACACACACACATACATATATACATACAAGTATATTGTATCTCTATATATATCATAAATTTTAAATGTGCAGACAAATTACAAAACCAAACAAACAGCCAAAAGATTTTGTTTCCTAATTAAATGTTAAGTTACTTTTTTAATATGATGGGTTAACAGTAATGCTCTCTAATTCTAATATAATCCTGATGCAAAATAAATAAATAATAAATAGATAATTCTTCCTTCTTCAGTTGAGGTTGGTTGGTTGGTTGCTGGTTGGTTGCTGAAACGGACTCACATGGAGATGAACAGCCGACTGAATCTGTGATTCAGTGACGGCCCTGATCTGATGGCTGATCTGGTACTGACTCTCTAAAAAACTGGATATTCAATAAGTAAGATTTACTTTTCTTTTACTGATTCGCCACAGCCCAAAAGAGTGCAACTCTGCAATTGTGATGATTAAAACTGATGATGATGGCGTGATGATGACGTGATGATGACGACAACGACAACATAAAAAACCTTTACTAAAGTGAAACTGGAACGACTTTCGTCCGTGTTTATCCAGACTTTGTAAGTGAAGTCAGTACTTAGCCGATGATGATAAGTTTACTTTTAGTTTTTATATGAACGTTAAGTCGGCAACAAATTAGCATATCGCATAATTTAATGGCTTTCCGTAAATATTGATAAGTATGTGTGTAAGAATGTGTATGTAAATATGTGTGTGTGTGTTGTGTGTGTAAATTTATGAACGATGCAAAAATATTGAAAGAAAAAATACAAAACGGTGATTTTGTAATTTGAAATAATTTTGAAAACGATTTGAATCGAGATCATTTTACATTAAGTATAAACTTTGATTTTAATTTTGAGAACACTTCACGTGGTGTATATGGCGTTGATTTTGAATTGAAATGAAACAATCATTGTTCTTATCAACACTGAAAGAATGATCCTTTTTTGGTTTTTTAGCCAACGACATTCTCGACACGTTGCAGTGACTTGAACGTCGATCGAATCGAACGCTGCTTCGCCCCCCACTAAATTGGCAGCACCATTCTGAACCAACCAACAAAAGCGACTATGATAATTTTTTCCACTCTTTTGATTTCATTTTGTTTTCACTTAAAACTCCTAAGCTCTAGCAACATTCACTTGAAAATTTAATTTTAATATTCCTTTTAGCGACAAAAAAAGCTGAATCAAGTGTTTGAGAAATAATATTTTATTCTAAATAATTTAATTATAAGTAATTACATCAACATTAACAACGAGCATAATTACCATAACAACTACTTTATTACGAATAATGGAAAAAGTTGGTCAAAATTTACCATCATAAACTTCGAGAGTATGAACAGGGACTGACTAAAATTTCAAAATGAAACATTCAAAACGGCTAAATATTTGTTTAAATAAAATGACACACAAAGGCAAACATTATTCTTAGGAAAGAGTTTTTCAAATAAGAACAGATAAAACCAAAAACGGACAATATGTTATTTCGTGTAAACAAGCATACGTAAATAAAACGACGCCTGTGCGACTGTAGCTCAAATAAGATACATAAATTTAAAAGTGTGTAAACCGTAAGATGAAATTGTGTTTGTAGAAAAGTGAACATTCAACAGAAGAGCACACAGGATACTAGAACATTTATTTTGTAGTTGTTCTTACACAGATTCTAGTCTACTGAACCACTTTAAACTTTGTTGTCATTATTATTATTCAGATATAACATCAAGAAAACAATCATAAACAGATCAAACATTAAGAAACAGTTGTTAGTTCGCAAGGTAGCTGTATTAGTAAGACAACTGACCGATTAATTTTGCAGCCACCTAGAAACCGGCACACCAATAAAAATCATTTTGTGTCCCCTCAATTCTATTTTACCATAAAAATGGCAATAAGTCACACCAACCACTAATACTACTTCTAATACCACCACCATCACTACTACTACTACCACTACTACTACCACCACCACTACTACTACTACTACTACTACTACTACTACTACTACTACTGATATTATCTCTTTTCCAGTTTTCAAGCCGGATCTAATCGGTTCAGGATACTTATCAGTTTCGGGAAACCGAAATTCAGAACACACCCATGTCTACTAAAAATAGCAACAGCGGAAATACTTCTAAACAAAAAACAATAATAAAAATATTAATCATA